CGAAAAGCAATCGAAATCAATTTCTTCCTTATATGTCGTGCTCAACCACAGCGATGAATCTTGGTCCTATCACTGAATCTGCATATTTCTAATTTGCTTGCATACGCCGTCGCCAGTAGTCGAATCGTGGGGGGGGGGGGGGGCAGCAAGCTTCCTCAATCTATCTGGTGTAGATCCCCGGAACGCTACTCTCTAGCTGCAAAGTTTGGCGAGGGAGAAATCTCATGGGAGAATCGAGAATTAAACTGGTTACAACGAGGAAACGCATTGCGCTTCTTATATCCTGATTTAAATTGGGTCGTCGGCTTAATTTCCCATTGCACGCCCACCTCCTCCACGTGTTATATATAAGACATCAGATTTTCAGTAAACTGAAATTTCTCTGGGACGACGGCGACGAGATTTCAATTAATTTCCATTGTGTGAGCTGCACAAGGAATGTCTTTCGTCGTGGAGCTTGCTGGTGATAAGGGGAAGCTTCTTCGGTTTTTCGAGAAAGGAAGCGCGCGCGCGAGAGAGTAAGAGAGAGACAGAGAGAGAGAAAAGTGGAAATAGGGAATAGCGGGGTGCTGAAGGGGTTAGTGGTGCATTCCGTGAGTGAGAACGCGTTCGGGGAAATTAATGACCTGAAGGGTTTATGGAGACTAACGGATTCGAAAATGGTAGTTAATTTGCCATTGTAATTATTCAATCTCTCGGAGTTTAATACGCTGTTTTTAAGTGAAAGTTTACTTCTAAATTTATATTACATCATACAAAGATTATTAAAGTATTTAAAAGAGTGTGCTACAGAAATTAATTATTGCAGAGTTGAAAAAAAGCACATTAGAAAATAAGTTTTTACAATTGGAATTATAGTAAATAAAGAACCATTACTCAATTTCCATTTTTATAAAATCACATTTCTCTTATAAACAGTATAACACGCCCTGTGGAGATGTATTTTATAAGTTCTCTTAGGTCATCCTCGTATTATATTTTTGAACTCCAAATATGTACACATTTGAATTATTTAAATTATTTCCAAAAGTGACTTTACTGAAAAGCATTGCACAACATAATCGATTGAGATGAAAATGAATATAAAAAATACGAAAAACTTTAATAATCTGCTCATTTATTTGAATCTATTCAGTAATAGACAATTGTTAAATGAGTTAATTATTGAAGATATTATCAGATCGAAGATAGTACTGGCGTTGCGTCGCGGTCATAAATGATCGAATATCGACAAGTGTGTATAATTATGCAAATGTGAATTTTAATTATAATTATTTATACGTAACTTACGAGAGTGCCGTCGCTTACGCGGAAACACACACGTACACGCGTACGTTGTTCTCGATTATAACCGAGCGAGAGCAGGTTATTTTTACAAAGCACACGCGCGCGCGCGAGTTGACCGATATTCGCATATACGGCAAACAATGAGAAGTAACAGAAAACCAAACAGCAACTTTGAAATTATTTTACAACGCTTTAACTATTCCTTTATACATACGTTTGTTTACGGGATACGATGAATAAGAGCTCAGCGGTACTCTCGCCGGAATACCAAATAGTTTCGAGATTTCATGTTTTTCAACAAAAAGTTGGAATTAGAACGTCAAAAGACCTGACTCTCTCTCTCTCTCTCTCTCACACACACACACTCTTGTACGTAGTACGCTATAAATATAATTGTTGCTTTTGAGGAAATAGCCTTGTACCGTTTTCGCTTCAAAAGCCCTAAATTATTAGTTATGCGAGTGCTGACGCGAGGCAATTGCGCACCGCCCAAGAAATGGCAAAGTTCGTAAAGTCAAAGGCTTCTCCCCGTCGACGTCGTTGGTAACTTGTGCTTTGTACTGCTGCATGCAAAGCGAGCAGCTAGCCCTATCCGTTAAATTTGACGCCTCCCAAAAACCTTACAACGACATAAAGACTAACTTTTTAGTATATCGAATTCTTGCTCGAGTAATTAGTCTACCGCGTCAATCTTATGAGCGATGATGTTAATGGATTTTTCCATTGTCTTATACTCGGTTGGAATTAAGTTTTAACTATGCTCGTTTAAAGCATTTTTCACAAGTACATTACTGAAGAATATTAATGCTGACTTTACTCAAAACATATTAATTTTTCGTTCTCATGACGACAATTCATAACATGAATTATGATTGCAGCTCATAAAATAAATTATGATTGCAATTCATAAAATGAATTATGATTGCAATTCATGAAATAAAAAGTGAATGTATCAGAATGAGAATTCTAAAAATTCTAAGCAGATTAAAAAGCCTTTTATTACCATACCATATAACAATAATATTTTTCTTGGTGTGCGTTTACTCTTAAATATTTCAATATCCTTACAATTCTTTCACTAAATAAACATCTACAACAGTTTATATCTTTAGGAAAAGATAAATCGAAATTATTAGAGAGAACTAAGATTGTGTATAAGTTTCAATGTAAACAATGCTCATCTGTATATGTTGGTGAATGCAAGAGATCGTTAGGAACTAGATTAAATGAACATTGGGGATGAAACTGTCGTGATCGCATATAAGAATTCCTTTCCGTATGACTTTGATTGGGATAGTGCTTAGATATTAGATTACGAAAGTAATTATAAAAAACACAGAAATTCTGAGATGCTATACATTGGTTCATCAACTAATAACTTGAATAAGAAAGAGGATATACAATTCCTCAATCACTCTCACATAAACTTCTATTAAGTTTTCTTAAAAGAGATTATCGTTTTGAATAGCTATCTTAAGAATGGAGCGAATTATAACTATATAGTATGCAGCAATGTCTCAGTAGTACTTTGACTATCAAGGAGAAATCTTCCCTTGTTTTCTTATTGTTTAATTGTCGATGACTAGATAATTCTAATTTTGCAATGTTATTTATTGTATATAAGGAAAAAAATTTTTATAACATTTTGTCTGATTTGCACGGTAAACCCATGTGTTTGAATTTAAACGTTTAATATGACGTCACCTATAAGAAATACATTATCCCCAATTTTAAACACTTCTAAACGTTTAATTTCAGCGACAATGTATTTCTTATGGGTGACGTCACAATTGCACACTTAAAACGTTTAAATTTAAACACATAGGATTTTAAGGTTTTGCCGTGTTGTTGTTTCTGTTTTCTTGTGTTTTTAATAAAGTTTGATCAGATGAGTACAATAGCTAAACGGTGCTAATCAATTAATGGTGAGTTAGTTTATTTTATTATTTGTCTCTCTCTCTTGGATTGTAACATTTATAATTAAATGCCAATGTATCACTTTTACCTTAGAGTAGCTCTTTTTAAAACCCTCATATTTAATATCCATGTTGTCCAATTAATTTTTTTATTTTGCATATAAACAACGGTATTTTAAACTCAGCTGGTGACTAAAGAATTCAAAGTATTAATACTTTTCGCATCTATCAGCAATATTAATTGCGGCAATGCCATCGAATTCCAAGTAAAAAATCACAACAATCCTCGCTTTCGCAGAACTCACCACAAACTTCATCCACCCGTACCTAAACTATATAGTTATTTATTAGGTTCGAAAAGAACAAGAACGTTTTGTTATTCTATTGATCACTTAACATGGGTGTCTGGAGAATTGTTTTATGGATCCCACACCGCTACCACAATAATGTTTCGCCAAGACCAACTTAGGAGGGTATATATGTAAGAATAGTTAGTCGTCTTGAGTTCAAGACCCCCTGGTGGCTTTTCCCTTTACGAATTCGGTAATACGCGGAGGAAAGGGTGACTAACTTGGCATGCAGACGAACCTTGTCGCAATCAGCATATTTGAGAGTTGGGCGCTTGTCACGAGTGCTGCTAATGTCGAATGTTCTCGCGCGCAAGCTGGGCGCTTTTTGCTTTGTTAGTTAGCCATTCAAACTTTGTTACGAAAGTTTTGGCATGAATGTGGGTATTATTTGACTAATTTATGATTCTTTGAGTTTAATCAAATAGCGATTTAGAGTCTACGTTTGAATGTACTCACGCGATACCAATTATACAGAGAAAGTATATATGTATATATAAAATGCATTTTGCACTTGTTTACTGATCAAATTATACTCAGTTATCTATGTAAAAACTTGATATGAAGATACCAGCAGCGGGAAATCTGACATTCGACGTATTTATTGACAATTCATTTTCCGATTATTGAATGACTTGAATATATTTACGTAAATAGTTTCTGTAAGGTACACATATATAACTCCAGTTACGAAACTACAAGTTATATTGGTTATATTAGGTTAGTTTAAGATAGTGAATTTGGTAAAGTATTCGAAGTGCTACTATTGGATATGCTGTAACTCATCGAAATTACAGAGCAAAGAGAATATTCTATTACATAGCAAATAATGTACACGGGCTGAGTTTGCTTAATTTCCATGAACATTCATTTTGCTTAGATTAGTAAAGATTTGTTCTATAAAACGTGTTTTATGTTACATACTCTTCTATAAAAAAATTAATATTTTGGAGCTCTATCTGACTTCATTGGCTTATTGCTCAATTAAGATACAGGCATATTTTGAGTTAAAATAACTCATATATAACATATGTATTATTAAATGATCTTCTTAAAGTAACAGCATCTTCATTTTCTTCAAGGGAAACTATATAAAACCATCTAATAAACTATGAAAAGCATATGTAATGTAAAACAAGTTTGTTCAAAATCGCTCACTTTTCTAAAATTATGTAATTTACTTAAGCTAAAACTGTATTTCAAACAGCAATTTATAGGTGGCATCTTTAGATCTACCTTTGCTGAAAAAGTAAGAACTATAAAAAGTCTATTGCATCAGGAAGACAGCTGATATATTTACTATTGAAAATTGTTAAACGTACTTATATTTTTATAATTTAGGTTAAGAATATGCTAATGAGATCAAAATGATTATAAAGTTAAACCATAAAATGATAAATTTACGTAGAAAGCCGCTGGAAAGTCAAAGAAGATAGATATCGAATCTCACCTGGACAAGGGACTGCTGATGATGTAGTGTGTATAGTAAAATATACTGGCCACAGAAACAAGAAGTAGCGCTGCAACGCACCTCTTGACAGTGGCCTGCTTGACAACATATCTGGGCGCGATGGCACCGAGTAACGGCACCACAGCCTCGCCCGTTGTGATCTTCATGACGACGATCCTGGCCAACGCTGCCAATTCGATCGTCTTCAGCCTAGCAACAGTCGGGAGGCGCATCACACTTGCGCCATTTACTGCGTTCAACGGCCATCTCTTCTTGGCGACGACGAAAAAGCGCGACGATTACCGCCACCTCCGGCTCACCAAACTAGCCCATCATCGATTGCTTACACGGATATATATGATTTCAACTGCGTATACTGTATGTTTCTTGATGGTGTTACTCTTAGCTGCTGTAGATCACGGCTTCATTCGTAATCGATCGATTATGTCGATCAATTACGTGGCTTTCACGTCAATTTTACAGTCCGCCGCTTCTGCTGAGAATCCATTGTTCTGGAAATAGAGAAAAATCTACTATTAATTTTTACTGGTATATATTAATTTTTACTTATTTATCGCAAAAGAGGGATTAAAACCCTACTGTGCACTGCGAGGGAGCATATGAAGTTACTTATGAAATTATGAAATGGAGTTTAATTAATAATGGAACTAATCTTGTGCGATAAGATAATGAGAAAAAGCGAGGCATGTACGTCCTGGTATGAAAATAATTATTATATTTATAAGGTATTGAAAAGTAGAGTTTGGTGAATGCAAAAATAATTTCAGATATTTTACTGTTTAAAGATAGATTATAGTATTAAGTGAAAGTGGATTGTACTGGAAAATTATTGTACACAGTAATAGCAAAATCGATGGGTTATCCTCTCGAAGACATGTTATAACAACCGTGAAATTATTATAGCATTGCCCATAATACCTTGCAATCAATATTCTCTAGCACTATAATTCTTATCTTCTCATTATTGAACTAAGTCATAATGGATTTCAATCAATCGATGTATACATTGTTTTTTGCAGCGAATAACAAATCATAAACTTCCGTGGAAAAATATTTGAAAAAAAGCAAACGAGTGATAACTCTCGCAGGTGATCAAAATTAAATGAGTCCATCTCGTAGTGGGCGGTCGAAATGCCGTCAAAGTTACGCAAATTACATCACACTGAAACGGCCCTTTTCGGCGCCTAGTCAAGCGAGCAACAATGGCGCAAAAACATCCTCGACCTCGGAGGAGCACGTCGATGAAGAACAAAAAATAAGTGTGCACAGAAAGAAAAAGGAATGGATAATGGAGGCGAAAGGCTTTAAAAAGAAAGAGAGCAAGAAGGAGTAGGTCGCGCGCGCGCATGAGAAAGAGAGAGAGAGAGAGAGAGAGAGAGAGAGAACATGCGGTAGGTCTCCTCGCGGCGTTTCTTCCTCTTCTCTCTCGCTCTCTCTCTCTCTCTTTCTCTCTATCTCTGTCTCTCTTGCCTGTAATTTCTCTCTCGAAACGCGCCGCGCCCCGCGTGCAAACGCTTCTTTCAAGGGATTACAGAGAAATGTTTTTTTACGGTCTCTCTCTCACTCTCTCCCTCTCTCTTGGCTCAACTGCGCTTTTTTCTTCTCTTTCGCTTTTTCTTTTTTTAGATCTGAGAAAATGAAATGAAACGGTGAAAAAAATTAAATTCTCGCGGAGGGTGCCTTGGTGACTGAATTTTCACAGCTGATTGAGTTTTGTTGGAAGGAGATTATTACATTTTATGAAATAAACGAGTAGTTCAGCGAAACGAACGAAATATAAGCGTGTTAAGACACTGATGAATGGAAGCTAAGCTAAGCTTCCGAAGATTATCCGATGGAAACAGCAAATCTTATCAAGAAAATAAACAATAAGATACATTTCTACTAAATTTTACTTCTACCTATTAGTTATATAAGACTAAACATTCCAGAGCCTGCTGCAAAACATTTAATTTGCATTTGAATTAAGATAAAGGGATACTTGTACCTCTTCCAAGAGAATACTCGAGCACCTACCACATCATTGTGTAAATAGGGGAAAGTTAAAATATCTCTACAGTGACATACTTGGGTAAAGGATGTCAAGACGTATCGCCTCAATTTCGACCCTCAGTTTGCGAGTCAATTGGCTTTCATCTCTGGGGGGCTGACCTGACATTTCTTTCTTTTTCGTTCAACAGTCCGTGAAGATATATTTGATATCACGTCAAGATGCTCAAAAAGAATTCGAATTCTCTGAACGAGACGCGCGCCACGTTAATTGCATGCGAGAATGACACTACGATAATATTTTTCTTTCGCGTGTACACAGAAACCTGTGTCTTTTTTTTTGCGCTCTCGTTTAATTGCCATTTTCCTCGCAAGATCAATATTTTCCCTTGGATTCGATGATGGCTTATATTGGCTGGGAGGAAAAAAGGTTCTTTCGAATGAGGTATAGCAAACGTTCTTACACTTTTCCAATAAAGACCGCGAAACCGCGGTGCGGATAAAACAGTGGCCTGAAATAGAAGTTCTTTACACTGCTTGGCTGTATTTTCGGAAGGCAAAATTGCTATGTCGGTAACAATTGGAAAAATCCGCCTCGATTGTTGGAAATATATATTTGCATTACTTTTCCTATCAAACGAATGAAAAGCTTTCTCCAACTCTTCATTTTGATCGTTTCAATTACGTGATTGAATTTCAAGGTTGACATCCCACAAAAGAAATTCGGACGTTTTGATCTTATCTCATCAAAAGTAAAGCTTCTTTCGCATTGAACAAAATCGCAACTCTAGCACTTTTCAGCGAATATTCGTTTTTTAGATCAATGGGCGAATAAAAAATCCGCAGCAAGTGCAAGCTCATCCACTTCCATCTAGCTGGGTAAAGACTTATACATTCTTTTCTGCTGATACATGTATATTATGCAAAGCATCAATAGTCTTTTTAATCATCCAAATGCTGTTGGCTTGTATCGAGAATTTTGGCCCAAACGGAAATGAATGAAATTGCTGTTTCGGAAAATATATGTATATACACACACACACACACTCGACACCTTAATCTCGCGGCCCGCTGATCGTGTTTTGAATCTCGCTTCTCTCTCCATCACGCCTCTCTTTCGCTAGCGAGTTGTGTACGAGAATGGATTAATGTGTGCGCTCGCGAACTCGAGATTTTATAGAGGCCGGAGTGTGCAGATTAATCAGTGAAATTATTTCCTTTGTGTCGAGAGTAATTTAAAGTATTTTTATGGAACTTTCGCTGTTGCAATATCTATTTGTAAGTTGGATATAACGATTGGTTCCTAGTTTTATTTAGTCATTCATGTAGATATGTATATCCATGAATAGTGCATTCTTATATAACTTTGGACAACGTTGTGTAGTTCTTATACGATATAGCACGGAGAAAACAACTAAGACGAATAACCAGAAATGAATGTGTTTTCGTGAATATTGAAAAAATTTGAATTCGAGTTGAATTATCTAAACGCAACGTGAATAAATGTATTGACGTAAAAAGTTTTATGAATGACATCTAAAGGTCAGAATATGTACTATTTATCTACGCATATATCGTACAAAAAGAGAACACCAAGAAAACCGTATGAAACGACCAATGACAATGATTCCACACCAGCGCATCGCTGCGTCATCAATAAAAGGTTTATTGAGGACAATATACGGCTTGAAATGAAACTACACATAAAAACGCATTACTGTTAAAGCCAAAATACCACACAGACAATTTTGTTTTATTATCCTTGCGCAAAATATAGAACTCTTCGTCGAGACTTTATATATAAATAGACCGTACACACGCACTCAGTTAATAAATACTCCGAAGCAAACAATTTTACTTTTTATCGCTTTCATAAAAAAAAAAAAGAGTAACGGTGTAAAACACCTACGCGCACTCGAGTGTTATTTGTGCGTATAAGGCCCACGAACGGTGGAATAACCGTACAAGCGCGCGGGAGAAAGGAAACAAAGGGAGGAGTGCATAAATAAGGTGATGTTTATTTGATCGTATGGCGCAGTTCGATTCTATCCTCCTTCCCTTGCCTTCTTTTTTCTCATTGTTTTTTGCGGTAGTTGCACTTTTTCTGTGTAACAGGAAAAACCGTTAGTTTATTTTTTCACTTGTTTAGAGATTTAAATTTGATTTAAGAATCTACAAATATGAACAAAATATTGAATGAAAATGATAAAACAGTTTATTTTAAGTTTTTAGTAACTACTTTGAATACGTATTTCAAAAACAAAGTTCAGCTTCGCGATCAGCAACTGCGAAAAAGTTTTATATGTCTTTGAAAGACAGGAACAGTAGTATTTAAAATTTTAGATGCCATTTTGAATTTTCAAAATCGACCTCCTCGGAAATCTATATCTTAATATATATACATATTTATAAAGAAATTTTTTAAAAGTTCTGCTTATAATGAACATTTCTAAAGAAAGGTGGTTTTTCTGAACGAGTTTTTTAATGTGAATAAAATTTATTTGGTAACATTCTGTAATCGTAAAAATGAACAGTGGCTTAATCTGATTAAAACTACGTAGAAATCTAGAAAATTTGTTAAAAAATTTTATGCAAGAGGTTAATAAAATTAGTTCTTTAATTTTATTTAACTTTGTTTAGTGTCGTGACCTAACCACGGTACACTACAGCAGAAACATGAATATGAAACAGAAATTATTCTCGCGCGTGTGCTTCTCCCCTCTCCCCACCCGTTCCAAAAAGTCATAGTTTTTTAAAAAAATGAAGAAAAAAGCAGCAGCTTAATATATAAAGAATTGCAGCGCATACACGTGCCTTGATATTTCAAAACGAGAGAAAAATCAAAAGAGCACTGTATGTAGAAAAGAGAAGAAAGTGCATAAATAAATTTTTATGATGGGGTTCGACACAATGCTCACGTGAACCGTGTACGTGGAAAGTAATAATATGAAAATCCGGCTTACGATATTTGAGTGGCTGTGACTAGCTAGAAAAAAAAACAACACGTAAATAAAAAAGCTGACGTGAAAGGACTGAGAGAGGGAAGGATTATCTAAGAATGAAAAAAAATTTCTAAAACAAGTATTAGTATATGTAGCTTTGGTGTGACGATTGCTTAAAAGATACGATTTATTTAGGTAAGTTGCTGTTGGTAGATGAGAAATAATATTTATTTACTTAAATAATCCGTTAGTTCAATCACATTTCCTCATATGATTCCTTATCAAGTAATAAAAATCGTATCACTTTTAAAATATAAAATTATTAGTCCGCTATGATCAAAATGCAATTTTTATCCACCGAGTATAACATTTGTAATATGACAAGATAAACAGGGAATTCTAAATATTCTTTTTTGACATATCGTATTATACTGATATCATATCACTAGGTCCAAAGTTATTTAAATTTGTTTCGATATAAATTTAGTATTATTTACGATTCTAAAATAAGCAATATAATTGAGTGTACGTATTTTTTTAAATATAAAAGTCATAATCTT